GCCAGCTTTGACACGGATATTAATGCGTGCAAATGAGCCATTAGCAGCCATTCGGGAAGGGCAAAACAATCATTGAGGTGAATAATTGAGCGTTGAGAAATTGCCGACAGTTGCGTGGAATTGACAGCTGTTTGAGTGCAGTACTTGGATGCAAACAGCAGAGATGCTGTTGGGCCACTCAACTAGCTCGCTGACTAAAGAAGGAGAAAAAACGTGCCAGCCTGGCAAAGGAGCCTTTAGCAGATGCTCGGGAAGGGCATAATCAATTAATCGATTAACTGATCATGAAGAATTTTGAGTCCATAATGATGTTAGAAATGTTCATGAAAGGATTACTATACTTCAGTACTTAAGGCTGAATTAAGTGACCATCGGGTTTTTCTTTCTCTCAAATGATGGTGAATTTCTCAACCAAGTCAAAACGGCCATCCTGATCATCAGTTGAACCTCCGAGAATCTAATTACGGGCCACGAGGGCGCTGATCAATTCTGATGTTGGCAAAACATAAACAAATTAAAGTCGGCGGTGCCTGACGAGCAGCACAAACGAGATATTGTCCTTTGAGGCGTCCATTAGTGGGAATTAATGGACTTCTTCGGAGGCAACCGGCTGCCCAGCCGGCGGTCGCCTTTAATGGACACCTCGGCAGACGTCTTCCTATTACATAGCCGATAAGGGGAGCCTTCACACGCGTGTTTTTGTACAATGAAAACATGCTAACAATGCTATGTTTAGGTCACAGGGGACACCATTCGTCCTTTTGATGACATTGCAAATTCCCACAGGTCGGGAAAACAACAACAAATATTTTGGAGTGCTTTGATCCGAGTTTAAATGTGTTTTTGATTGAGTCCTAATGGCTACGCAACACTACTGCAATGGCCATGGAAACAACAACAACAACAACAATTCCATCACCATGGAAACCACACAAAATATATTTTTTAAAAAAAGGAAGAGGCAAACGGCTCCTTGTTGAGGATCCCCTCGGCCCTGAAGTGACTCCTTAGCCAAAATGCCACAGCGGGAGGAAAGGTTACTGTGGAAAAAAAGAAACTCATTTATGCGGCAGAAGAGGAATCCCATGCGCACGTGCACCGCGCACGCTCACCAAGAGAGATAAAGCAGACACACAAACATGAGTCACAGAGAGACTTTCCATGTTTTACAATCCGTCTTTGTCTCTACACAAAACGGTCTCACACTCGAACAGGGTTTCAACCTGGCAATTGGACCTAGCATCAGGACGGAAAATGGTTTTTGCTCGCTTTTGTGCTGTATTTTATGGATCTGCTAGCATCGGATGGCGGTTAATTTTTATTAAATCTGCAGAAATTCAAAAGGAAGCCCCCCACCCCCCGTCCTTAAATTAAACGCGGGAAAGAGGAAGTGTTGGAAGAAGTTGAAGCTGAAATAATTTCGTCTTTTGGAAAGTTTCACAAGCTGTCAACAATGCTGTTCAAATAACATTATAATTCACAAATTTTGTCTGAAATCCGTACACGAAACCATTATTTTTATTTATCGCACACAGTTTGATCAGCTTGTCAGTCATCTTGTTAGGCAGCCCCATTGTTAGTACACTGAGGACAATTAACCCCGTTGTCTGGTGACGTTAGCTCGCCAGAGCTGAGCTGGTATTTACTGGTTCCATGACAATAGCCGGCACGGCGAGGCACTCGCCGCCGCCGCCAACGAAGCGACGTGCTGAATCAGCGCAACTAGACTTTTCTCCTCACAATGAAGAGCGGGCGACGGTGAATAGCTCCCCGCGACGTAAATCCAAACACAACGGCCGGAGCTTTTGTGCGCACGCTCGCGAGTTTTCATGCTGCTTGTCAACAAGCGGTGTGAAGGCTCAGCGTTTAGAAAGCCAAGAAATGAGAGCACACGAGTCGTTTCCGGCGTACATGTCATCCCAAAAGGGCTGGGCAATTACTTTCATGATTTATTTGACGCAATATCACGAGGCCAAGCATCACTGCGTTGGGTATTGAGACACAGGTGGAGCAGTCTGGTATTTGCAGCCATTACTGCGATTGCAAGTGCCTCGAACGAGCTGTGGTCAACCATTAATCCGCATAGACTGACAAACACGTTGCTTTGACTTGTACGACAGCGTATTAAAGTCAGCACTCTTCCCTGACCCTGACACACAAGAGCAAACGCAGTAACCTTCATGGCAATGTCTTTATGTACACAAGACACTTTTACCACCGAGTGCCTGGACACCTGCAGGTAAAGAAAGGTGAAGAAAGGGAGTTGTTTGAAGCTATAACAGATGCCCCTCTTCTGAGAAAACATTGTAACATTGCCTCTACTTCATCCCATAATGACTCTTCCATAAAAAAACTCATCCAAGCATGCCTTGGTGCACCGAGAACACAACTGGGAACTTCGCCAAACTGTTCCCACATAATTAGACCTTACTAGGACCCAAAAAAATGAATTAAGATGATTAACACGGCCAAAGGACTCCAGTTCAACATGTGTCTCATTACTTTTGTCTACATAGCCCACATGTTGGTCCAGAGAGATACTTTCAAATCTGATACCGAGTTCTCAAGGCTAAACATTATTGGTATAGAAGCTTCCTGTTCTAGGCACTTTCAGAAGATGAAGCAGGGTTTGCGTGTTAGCATTGTTAGAACAAACAAGGTTAATGATACAGTCAGTGCGGGCAGAATGACACCTAAAACAATGAACATTGACTCCATTTAACAAGATATGAACACACAAACACACACACAGTTTAGGAAACAGCGTCATGAACACTTCCAGAATTGCACATGCACAAGTCAATACCCTGTGGTGTTATGGGGGGGATGCTATTTTTTTACCAATCTTCGAATGACTTTACAAAATACATCCAAGTCATTCCAAATAAGATTATGGGGGGGGGATGCTATTTTTTTACCAATCTTCGACTTTACAAAATACATCCAAGTCATTCCAAATAAGGCCAATCTTGCAACGGGGTGCTGTTGTCTTCTTTACACACTGCCTCAGAGCGAACAAAATGAGCTGCTTTTGGATATATATTATTAAATTTGCATCTTTCAGGCAGCACGCCAAGTGGAGTTCTCATGTTTATATGTGTGTTGGGTTTTTTTTTTTTTTTTTTAAGCTTACCTCCCACATTTTTATGTTCATTGAGGATTCTAATCTCAGTTGGCCGTAGTAGAGTGCAGACGGTTGTCTGTCTACATGTATACATGTGAGTGGCAGGTGACCAGCTCATGTGGTACCCCGCTTCTCGCCTCAAGTGACTTTGGGTCAAAGTCAGCCCACCCGTGACCCCATTGAGGGCAAGTGCTGCAAAAAACAAATGGATAGTGGAGGGGTTATTTTAAACTGTACTATTTCATTTTTCCTCTTATGTGTCTATTGTGTGTGGTTTCTGCGGCAAGGGACCAAATCAACTCATGTCATAAACACGATAAGTGGACATGTTTCAAGACATGATAATTAGATTGAGCAATTACGCTTAATGGCTGTTCCTCCCGGTTCGAGAGCATTCTGACAACGACTAATTCATGTCATGTGCAGACTGCAAGCTCCTGAACACTTCATTCAAACCATTTAAATGTTTGCTGACTGTCAAACTACAACATACAAATGACTTATTTTCTTTTTAAACAGTTTTTGAAGCCAACATTCGCTGGATAATTATATTAGGAGACCGAAGAAGGCAGCCGGCTCCTTACCTGTAGATGGCGGACACCTGTGGCGGGAGAAGCCATTTTGGTTCACAGGTACCACCACTCCTCGGACGATTCCACCACAAAAAAATCCACTTAACTCCGAAAAAGATCCACCGCCGGTAACGAAGGAAGAGGAGGGACGCCCGTCTGCAGGGGCGCGGCTGGCCGGCGGAGAGTTTGAGCGTGAGTGGGTCGGCTGCCGGACAAACAAGCGAATTGTGACTACGCTTCCTCCTCCAGTCAGTCAAGTGTGGGAAAAGTAGAGGATCACCCCCACCCACCCGGGTCACATGGAGTCGTCCACATGTGGCTTGTGACGTCACATACTGCACATCAACAACATTGTGGCATATTCTTTCTACATGTCTATATTTGGCTTCCAAATTAACATTTCCACCACTTCTTGCAAAGCGTTTTTTGTTCTTTAGTATTCACTATCATAAGCATTGATAAATGTATTTATTATTTTTACTTGATTCGAGGCCTATCTGTTAATGTTTTCACAAAATGTTATATATTATTTCAAGTTTTTACAGTATACTGTATACACATACAGCAACGGAAATGAATATAAAATATGCCTTACAAAGCTTGTTTCCTCAAATGTTCGACCAAAAAAGGTACACGAAGAGACTGCTGTTGACATGACCTTATTTCTGTTTGAATCCATAAGCCAACTTCAGCCTAGGCAAAAAGGACGAAACAATAGACTGCTCTTTTTACCCTGTAGTTGCCAGGTTAATTTTAAGACATTTATATAAACCACATAATGTAATACAAGTTCAAATCCGGTCCTCTGTGTGTGAAGATTGTTCGTTCTCATGCTTGCACGGGGTCTCTCCAGTTACTCCATCTTCCAGAAGATTCAAATTATCCATTGGTGTGGTGCTTTCATTTGTATGGGTATTTTTTTTTAATCATTTTATCCTTGAGACGATGGGAATGTAGTCTTGGCAGGGGGGGTGAAGTCGACTCTGATGAGTTGGGGTGTCTAAACTGATGTATAAGAGTGAGTCATGCACTGGAGCTGTGTTCTCAAACCTCCATTGTGTGAATTCTCCACTCCCAGGGAGAAAAGTTCGATTTTAATTATATAAACTGATGTTTAAGCTACCTGCTGTAATTGCCATTTTTGTGCAACACTACACTGACAGTGTTGGCCGCATTTTGTGAAGCCGACGATGTCACGTGATACCGTGCTCAACCACACGAGGGCAGTGTTAGCTTAATACATTAAGTGCGAGTCCGAGTTATGTGGATTGGGTACTTGGGCAGTGAAAGGAGATTTGACACCGTGCTGGAAGTGGTGTTCATTTATTGCGCGTAAAGTTTGTCGATTTGCATGCGGAAGAAAGACTTGAGCTCGGCCCTCTTGGCCTTCAACGTCGGGGTCAAGAGGCCATTCTCAATAGTGAACTGCTCTGGGTGGAGATACACGTCCTTCACCTGCGCACGGATGGACAAACATTGCATCAGAATGCAAGCTAGAGATAAGAATTTTGTTTTATCTGCTGTGGTAGTTACCTGTTCAAAAGACTTCAGTCCCGCTTCTTTTCCCAGACTGATCATATTTGAGAGAATGGCTTTCTTGATTTCCTGCAAAAACAAACAAGTCTCAATGATAGCCCTCCTCACATCTCAGAATGACACAGCAACATTACCTTGTTTTTGCAGAGTTCTTCAATGGAGCCCTGGAATCCAAGGTTCTTAGCCAAACCTGGCAAGACCTCTGGATCGGGGACCACAATTGCAACCAGGAAGGCCTAAGGAGGGGGTGGGGGGGGAGAGAAAAAAAAAGTTTCCATTTTAGAGACCGTTTGTTGACGACACATTCATGCCCGTCTCACCTGTAGACTGTCTCCATGCACAAAAACTTGGGCCACGGGGCCGCTGCGCACGTAGACATTTTCAATCTTCTCTGGCGCGATGTATTCACCCTGAGCCAGCTTGAAGATATTCTTCTTGCGGTCGATAATCTTCAGAACACCACTCTGGTCACAGACAAAAAAAAAAAAAAAAAAAAAGATTGTCAGTGAATTAAACCCACATTAAAAAAATGAATAAAAACGATTTGATTTCTCACTGGCAGCCATTTCCCAATGTCTCCAGTGTGCAGCCAACCATCATTATCCAAAGCCTCAGCGGTCTTCTCCGGATCTTTCAAGTAACCCTTGAACACATTCATACCTTTGATGCACACCTGCAAGAAACAGAAATTAAACAATCCATCCATTTTTTTCCCTAACTAAATGTTTCTTTCACAATGTTCTGGAAACTCACCTCGCCTTCACCATTTGATGAAAAGTAGTTCATTTCTTCTACATCCACCAGCTTCACCACATTACATGGCAGAGGCACACCGACATGTCCTGCAATAAATATCAGGCATCATTGCGGCTTCCTTTTTAGCTGAGAGGAGGGGGCGGGGGATTGCAGCGATTGGCATACCTGAAGTGGCATCTCCTGGCATGGTGAACGTGCAGCCAGCCGTGCACTCCGTCTGGCCGTACGCCTCAAAGATCTACAAGATGTCAAATGGGAGAAGCTTACTGTGCATGCCCTTCATTCTTCCAAGCACAAATGTGACCTTCCCGCACTTTAACAATTGTTACCTGGCAACCGAGCGAAGCCCGGAGGAAGTCCAGCACCGAAGGAGAGATGGGCGCCGCCCCCGTCACCATGACTCGCACTCGTCCACCCAGAGACTCCTAATTGGATTGCCGGGACAGTCACTTCATGGGAACCGTTTTGTTTCATCACGCCGAGTTGTGGTCGGACCTGCACTTTGTGGAAGATGAGCTTGTCCCATAGGCTGTTGTTCCGGACTATGCCCTCCCGCACCTCAGCCAATTTCCTCTGCACCGCAAAGTTGAGCAGCCATTTTTTGAAAGGAGTCGTAGCACCGCTCTGCACCTGGACAAGAATGGATCTTGTGAGAACTGCACCAAAAAAAAAAAAAAAAAAAAAATTGAATCTTAGGAGGTGCGTCAAGCACGTCCACGCGAGGCACTGCTAACTTTATCGTAGACCCGGTTGAGAAGTCGGGGCACGACGGGGAAGATGGTGGGCTGCAGGGTCTTCATGTCATCTGGCAGGAGTTTGATGTCCCCCTGGAAGAACCCGACTCGAGCACCAGCACCAAATATGACAAACTGCAGGAAAATAAAAATGAAATAAAATCAGAGGTGGGGCACCCAGCGCTGGTCAACCTTGACAATACAAAAAAACACAATTCCATCTCAGGAGGTGTGTCAAGCACGTCCACACGAGGCACTGCTAACTTTATCGTAGACCCTGTTGAGAAGTCGGGGCACGACGGGGAAGATGGTGGGCTGCAGGGTCTTCATGTCATCTGGCAGGAGTTTGATGTCCCCCTGGAAGAACCCGACTCGAGCACCAGCACCAAATATGACAAACTGCAGGAAAATAAAAATGAAATAAAATCAGAGGTGGGGCACCCAGCGCTGGTCAACCTTGACAATACAATTCACCACAGAAATTCGTCACGACGTGTTTGGACTGTCGGCGCCATTGTCAAAGTTCGTTCCGGGTTAACGTGCAGCGCTGAACCTTTTAGTTCCAGGAACTAAATATCCCAAGAGCTAAAAGGTCCTTGGAACTGTATGTGGAAATATTTGGAGTTGAACAAGAATTCACTTTTACCCCAGTTAAGAGAATCTCTTACCTGCACGACTCTCTCAAACATGTGCGCCAATGGCAGGAATGAAATGGTGATGTCCTCTGGATTTGGAACAATGGATGTCTGCGGAGACAAATTAAAAACGATTTCATGGCATTTATCAACGACAAAGAGAGTTTGATTAAAAAATAAATAAACCTCAAAGGTTTTGAGGACACCCGCGGCATCAGCGACGACGTTCTCATGAGTCAGCATCGCACCCTTGGGATTTCCTTCAACAGAAGACTCGATCATTTGAAATGTTACAAAAACATGGGGGGCGGGGGTGAGTTAAGTTCCTCCGTTATGTTCACCTGTCGTTCCGCTGGTGAAGCAGACAATGCTGAGATCCTGCGGCTTTGGAGGCTGTAGTGGAAAAGCAGATCGAGTCTTAGCAGGAGCCATCATTAAATTAGCATCTCCTGAGTGGTTGGGGTGGGAACCAGCGAGGTGGCCTCAACACTATCAGAAGCACTGACTGACATTTTCATCATCTGGAGCAGTTCAGAATCAAAGTTGTGTGGCATTAGATTACATTTTTAAGATTAGGTTTCTATAGTTAAAACAGGCCCAAGGTACCAAATGCATGGCCCACTCCTGCATCCTTTAGAGTCCCAAATATGTGGAGAAATGGCTTACCACTGGCTTCTGGAGGTCACTTTTCCCTGCATCCTGCGGAGCACAACAAGAGAAATCTAGTCAACCCTTGATGAAGGAGCACGTGTCATTACTTTGGAACAGATGTGATGCTTTTGACACCTCCACATCCTGCATGGACACCACGTCCACTCCGCATTTGGCTCCTCGCTCAGCTAAGCCCGAGTCGAACGGGTCCATCACGATGACGGTTTTGAGGGCAGGGGTCTGGCCTTTCTCACAGTTCTGCAGCAGAACTTCCACCTTTTTCTGGTTGTCGCACAACACTGTCGAGATGCCGGCTAAAAAACACAGGAAATGCAATCAATATTCCAAGGGGGCCTTTGAACCACCTTACACAAGAGTTTGGATCTCCCGTGGGAACAAGGAGCTTAATTAGCAGCATTGCAGCCAATTACCTTGCTCGATAATGAACACCAGCGCCTCAGGACCCAAGGTGTCGTAGAGCGGGACCACCACCATGGAGTAGGTGTAACAGGCCATCTCTCCAATAATCCACTACAAACAAGCAGCACAATTAAGATCTCTCGGGAAGGGCATCAAAGTGCCGCTCGGTGACATTTTGGTTCACCTCGGGTCTGTTCTGAGCGAAGATGCCGACAAAAGTGTCGGGAGTTGGCTTCAAGCCCCTCTGAAGGAGCCCCGAACCCAGATGCTCCGCTCTGTCGGACACCTTCAAAAGGCAGGAGCGGCTTGAACGGGTCTGCTTGGGGCTTTCAAACACTGAGCTGAATTGAAACCTCGGGTTGGATTTTTACCTGCTTGTACCTGAGCCACTGGTACGGCCTTCCCATTTTCCTGAAGCCCAAACATGGCCCGTTACCTGTAAACATAATCAATGATGAGCGCTACGAATAATGCATTCACCTCTCCTTATTCAATTTTAGCCACACGAACCAGAATATTACATACAGTACACAAACCATTTTTTTAAGCTACCTGACACTTTCATGCCCCTCTGGAAGACCTCATAGAGGGTCTTTGCGTCATCGTAGTAGTAGGCCAGCAGGTTGTTGTTGTCCTTGAGCAAGGCCACCTTCCTGGCTCCATCCTAAGAAGAAGAGGTATGAAGAATACATCTTAAAAATTAAAAAGGTAAAAGGCATCTTCGAGTCACACCTTGATGCCCAGGGTTTGGCATTTGAGGTCGGCGGGGGACCGCAGCGGGGCGGGCCTGGTGTTGAGGTAGAAGAGCGTGGCAGCCGCCAGGGCAA